AATTCGGCACAAACATTTTGTCCTTACTCAAATTAGTATATGATAGCAGAAGTTTTATAATGTTTGTTGTAATATTTGAATATATAAATTCGTACATTTTCAATGATGTAAATTTTTTATGGTCTTACCCCTAAAAACATTATACTATAGTAAATATTGTATTTAGGAGAAAGTTTAAATGCATTATATTGTATTAGGCTTACTACTGTAATGTTAATAAATACATAACAAGTTAAAAATAACAATATGATATGTGTATATTGTCTGGATTATAAGTTAGCAAGAATTTTGTGTATTAAAGTGATTTGGTTGCTTGTTTTCTGAAAGAACAAAAATATAGAAATAAAATACATCATGATTATGATTGTTTCTGTATCCATTCAGATTTATTGTTTATTATATATATTTAGCTTTATTATCCAATCTCATGAATTTGATGTCCATGTAATATATTTTATTCCATTATATTTAGTGAACATACATGCGTTTGTCCATGTATATTGCTGTACCCCTGTATCTTGTGAAACACTTCACTCACCTGATGAAGCCCCATTGACTGGGGCGAAAGCTTGTGAAATAAAATTCATCGTTAGTCAATAAAGTGCTACCTACTCATTTGTTTCATTTGTATACATTAATATGACTATACTACTTCTTTTATTCATGATTGTGAAGATTCTAGTGAGTGAATAAAATTTGTAGCTTACAGAAGAAGTTTTCTATCTAATACAGTACATCATATTTAAGTTTTACACCTTGTTAGTGAACCCGCTGCCAATAATGATGATTTAGAATAAAAATAAAACTTTATTTTTGGCCAATTGGCCACGAAACAGTGGAAATTTCATAAAGAAAATAAAAAAAATTCTTTAGTTTTATTACTCCCGGTGCCGCCTTTACATTTTATATGTATATTTCTTCTCAATAATATATAAATTTAAAGCATTTTTACCATCCAATTACTACACAGTATACATCCAACAGTAACATTTTATTTTCACTTTTGCTTCCATCTGAATGTTTTTGGCAAAACCATTTTCTGTATAGGATAACAATATTTTTTTTCAACCTCTGACAATCTTTAAAGAAATAAGTTTGTGAAACAAGGTATAAAAAGGTATCGCTTTATGCTTCAAGGTTGGAATTTATCACTCAAAATAAGATATTACTAAGTTAAAAAAAGGAAGCTTAAGCAAAATACTTTAGTATCACTTATCAAACCATCTTCACATTGTGTCAGCTTTAAATCATTCTTTACTTAATTCTGTATTGACATGTCTCTAAAAGCAATTTTAAGGTCAGAATTGTTTGACTTAAGGCAAAAAAAAAATTGAAGAACACATTTTTTTGCTTGCACACATGATGCAAATATTTACCTTTTTTTTAATTGGTGAGAGAGCATCAAAATGGAGTGTGTCATTGCGTTTATATATTTTTTTTTTCTAGGGAGAAAGCATTCTGGCAATTTTTAATGGAATATACTGTATAAAAAACCTACTGAAATATGTCATAAGCAGCATCCTTTCCTTTAATTAGATGCATTGTATTAAACATAATTGAAACCTAGCATAGGACGGTGTGGTAAACATAAAATGATAATTTAAGTACTGTATTGTGTTTTAAATTTTTGTCTAAATCATTATTTTTTATGGGTTTGGAAAAACAATGTGTAAAAATGTTGTCTTTCCAAAATGCAGAGAATGTAGGAAAGTACAAACTAATTTATAACAAAATTTATCTAGTTTAATGTTTTCAGATTCATTTATAGAACTCTTGATGAAAGTGCCCTAAGACAGCATAATATATTTATCTCTTTCTTTGCTCAATTTATTTAGTATTTTTATCATATTGAAATTAATGTCACACAAAACTCTTCAAAGAGCCCATCAGCCAAAAGCGTAATAGATTTGCAAATGTTTTCAGTGTCTGGTTAAGTTGTTGAATAACAGAGTTTGAAGCCCTGTTATCTTCCAGACGGTTCCATAGATCCATATAGATCCATATTCATGTAAAGTGACTGATTCATGCTGATAATTCGCAGACATCAATTTCGTAGCTTCGGGTATATGCACATGGATTATACACAGATGTGAACATGTTTAAAGAGATGGCTCCAGCATGTTACGGGAAATGTTTATTGCATACTATGCTTCAGAATTAGGATTATGTTGCTTATTGATTTGGAAATTTGAATATGAAAACAAATTTCTTGATGCTGAAGTATTTATTAAGGCCATGATAACAAAGTGTGTTGATCACCCATTTCCTACCAGACAAAAGACCAACAAAGGGAAAAAATAGGCTCCCAGTGGGAGTGGGAGCCTGTGTCTACTGCTTTTTGTTTTGCTACTTTCAACTCATCCAACATTTTTGGGGGACTTTGCAACCAGGACCAATTTCCAAAGATTTTTAAAGGCATGCACACTTTGCTCTTGTCGGAGACATCCAATCCCCCTGCCTAGCTACTTACTCTAGGTGACCAGCGGGCCAATGACAGATACCAGCATAGAATAACCTATACTGAAAAGTAATGTAAACTGAAACTTGACGGAAAAAGACAGACGTAAAATGAAATGTCAAAACAAATATTCATCTCCTGTAACGTCAATAGCCTTAATAAGGCAGTTTGTATAGCACTGTATCGTACAAGACAAGACAAGTAAGTAAGTAAACCTACGCAAAACAAGGTGTCGCGCATTGAATTATTCTGTTCTCTCCCAGGTCACCAATTACATAATGTCAACTTCACGTTCAAACTTTACGCTTTTGGATTGACAAACTGACCTCAAACTGTCTACTGCCTAGAGAGGGCAGTAGACACAAAAATCAGCCAAGATGTACTGTACCGGTACTCATTTTGACCAAAAACAATGAATGAACAATGAATGAACAGCATTTAAGTCTTCTTGGTAACATGACTCCGTGGAAGCTAAACCAAGCTAAACGTACCCAGTAGTAGTAACCAGGTAGTTTTCCCCAGGGCCCCTGCACACACAGTGGCTACCACTAGTTTGGACTATATTCAAATGCATGATATAATCTTTCATTTGATTAGCCATTTAAATGACGACTTACAATCTTAATGAAACATACTGCATTATTTAATCGAATACCCCTTTTACACTGCAAGCAAAATTCCAGACATAACCTGGGATTTTCCAATACCCGGGTTAAAATCTCTTAAGTTGTGGTTAGTGTAAACGTCAAAAAGTCCGTCTCGGGTTGCCAAACATTCCGGGATGGACATGTGGGACGCATTCAGCGTAGGACAACCCGGGTGCATTCCGGAGTAAACAGCACCGAATTTGATTCCGGAATTAGGCATTACCTGGCGCCTACCGCAGCTGTGGTCAGGTAGGCCTAAACTTTGCTAACAATGGGCTAGGCCTAGACACTATTCAAATTAAACCCTCTATGCTCCGATATAGACTTGATATCAAAACTGCTGATTTAATTTGCATAATTTAAAAAAAATCTGCATGTACATTGCTTCATTATTGACAATAATTGTGGTTTCGTGACGTCGAGGAACTCGAGCGAAGTGATGATCACCATCGCAACAAAAATTGAGGGCAGTATTTGAACCCGAGTTTGTTGCCGGTGTAAAATGGGAGCAACTCGGGATCAACCCGGACTTTTTCGTACGATGTAAATGGGAAATGCACCCGGGATCACCCCGGAATTAACACAGGTTTATTCTGCCCTTGGCAGTGTGAAAGGGGTATAAGTCTGCAAGTTTTTTTCTTTTTTCTTGAAGATAGTTTTGATTACAGCAAAATGTTATGTCTGAATGTGTTGCTACGCTTATTCGAGCACTTATGGTAATAGTATTTTAAAACATTTATGTGGTAGAAAATTGTAAACACCATTAAAGACCGAGAGGTATACTAATTGATTTTAAGGTCACCTTTGGAACCTTAAAATTTGGGGTGGTTTTGGGGTTTGGTCTCCACATAGAGGGTTCTTAGTGTTAACAGATTAAATATAGAATTTCTTTGAAAAGCAGTCTCAAAATAGAGTTGTCTTGGAATTACAGTAGATGGGTCTCAAATAGGAGAGTGCATTGTAACTAAATTATTGAATTATTTTCTGTGTTGGTTTGTGATTCATGAATGTACGATATGTTCCACTACTTGGTATTACATGAATAGAACAAAGCTTACATTCACAACACAATTTACAATTAAGATAAAATTTTCAAATAACACTTCAACCTTCTTCGTAATTATGCTCCAAGGTGTTACACCTTACGGTGAGTGACCTTTCTGGCACGTAACCATAAGGTATGTTTTCGTAAGTATCTATGAAGTGTCTCTGACATTAAAAATTAAAACATCTTTGATCCCCAAAGAAGGTTGAATATTTCATAGTAATTAAATAATGTGCTTTGACCCTTTAAGTTCAACAATTCTTTCACATTTTGTTATTTATTTTTAAAGGAAATTTTCCCAGAACATGGCTAAACAAGCCACTGGCCGTAAATGGGTAAATGTTATTACTATACATTTTTTTACATTGAAAATACATTTCAAGTTCTCCTTTAGGCCTACCATTTTTTCATGTTGAAAAATATAATTTTGTTTATGAAAAAAAAACTGGGAATATTGTATAGATTATAGTTTGCAGAATCTTGTAATTAGGAGTATTTTAGGATAACACACAAAGTCCAAAGATTTGTTTCCAGTGGGGACCTTCTTGTGGTGAATTGGGCAGTACACCGGAAGACAATCCCCTCCTCTTTTCCGAAAAGTGTACTGCATTATTTTACTTGCACATGGGCCATAATGCACACAGGACCAACGGCTTAAACATCTCATCCAAAAGACAGTGTGCTACCATAACCTGCATTTCAGCCCTCCAGCTGGGAGAGCAGCTATGGGAATTGAACCGGGGACCTAGAGATCTCCACGGTTCAGCGCACACACAGTGACTACCACCAGTTTAGCCGACTGAGCTAAGCCACTCTCACAACCCTTTTTATCTTTGTTTTTAATATGCAGAGCAATATCAATGTGCAAAGTTTGCCTGGTTGGCTACGGCTTAATGCGAAATGACAGTAAAACACTACTAGAGGCGCTACACCAGCGGCATTTTCAGGTGATAGTCGTTGATGAATCCCACTACCTGAAGAATTTGAAAGCGGCTCGTACTCAAGTTTTGTTGCCGTTGTTGAAGAAAGCCAAACGACTGTTACTACTAACTGGGACACCGGCACTGGCAAGGCCAGCTGAGGTGGGGTTATTGTCTGTTTAATTATTGTACTATATGATCGGATTAGCATCACTGTTCTCAAACATTAAATGCGTGGTGATCTTAATAAGCACTTCTCTATTAGCACTTACTAGGGATATATTCTAGTTTGAACAAATGTTGTGGTGCTTAATTGAGAGAGCATGTTGGTATTGTTGAAATGAAAAATGTAAATTATATGTAAATAAAAATAAGTTAATGAAGAAAAATGATAGAGCATTTCATAAGTTCTGGTTATTGAAATCTCTACAGTACATGTAGTGTTTTGTTGATATTTGTGATATTTTTAATGTGTTCTGGGGAACTACTCGATAGCATAGAATTGTGTTGGGGTGTAGTTTGATAAAAACAAACTTGATACCTGACAGGTGAATCCTTTTGCAGCTTCTATTGGAAGCTAGACTACGTGTGTACTGTACGGTATATTGAATTCATTCCCCCCCATCAAACAAAGCTCGTCGGGCAGTTGGACTAAAACAAATGTAAGAATAGGCTTATGCATGTTTGTCGGAGTCTGAGTGTCATTTCTGGCCATCCTGGTTCTTATTCTGTAAAAAATCTCATTTGGAAGGGGACACCCTCTCAAAATCTTCCACAAGCTCCGGCCTACGAGCTCTAGTCCTCTCTCCCCCCCCCCCCCCCCCCCCCCCCCCCCCCCCCCCCTTGTAGGAAATCTCGGCCCCTAGAAAATATATCCTACAGCCACCACAGCTACTACGCCTTTATACATTGGTACAAAACAAGCAGAACAAAAAAAACCTGATGCCAGAATTAATAATAAAATATTAATAAAAATAATAATAATAATAATTATAATTATAATTTTGCCTTAAATAGCGCATTATGGTAAAGCCTCGATACGCATAACAATAAAAATGTAACTGCTGGATTAACACTTGAGGTCTCCCTGGTTTCGTTTGTTGCTGTGTTTACATCACCACAAATACAGTAGTGCAATATTTCACGAATGCCCGCATAGGAACCTTGGCCCTCGCAGAGGTCTGGTTTACATGGATGTAGTTATGGTGGGTGGAGGTGGGTGGGGCACCCAGTCTTGGAAGTTTTCCACCCAGTCTAAAGCTAATTTCATGGTCCTCCACCCACCCTTATAAACCCACTTTTTCCATCCTTAAAATCCACTCTTATTTAGAGTTTACCAATGTTATCACCCTGCCACCCTTAAAATTAATATTACCCACCCTTAGTTTCCTACATTTACAACCCTGTATTTATTGTTTATATTATTTTTATAACATCATAGATTCATGTTTGTATTGAACCTGTAGTCTTTGAAATTGGAAGCATATACCACTATAATAACAACCACCCATTTTGAAAACCCAACCAAGATTAATCTTAAAGAGTAATCACCAAACCATTAAGAAACTTGACAGTGAGTTATTGTCATTTGCCTAATGAAACAAACTCTTTAATTGGTCATAACTAATAGCCAAGCCATTTAGTCAATAAAACAACTCAGGTTTAAAACGGTAAACATGTTTGCATGAAAATGAACATTACCATCATCATCGTCACCATCCTCACTACCACCACCCACATCATCACCATTGTCGTCGTCATCATCAAATGGTGGTGGTGATGATGATGTTGATCATCATCATCATCATCATTTCACCATCACCAACAGGCCTGGAAAAAAAAAATGTGTGCGCCGCTGACCATGAAAGTTGTCTGTACACTATACGAGCCCTCCGGGGCATTCATTTTGCCTCCGACCGCTGGTCGCATGGTCGTGCACTTTTTCCAGAAGTGATAACCAGCATGATGATGATGATGGTGGTGGTGGTGGTGGTGGCGGCGACGGTGGTGGTCGTCATTATCATTGCCACCACCTTCACCATCAATACCATTATCAACATCATTGTTGATCTTGATCACCATCACATTAGCAAATGTTCATCTGAATCTGTCCCTGAGAACATAATGTCTTAAAACCTACTGTCTACATCTATATTGTGTTGATGTCATAAACTGTGCTCTCTCCTAGAATCACCTTCCAATGCTAAATACCAATAATATTTCTTATTCACAACGAAAATAACTTCCTTCCCTAAGTCTCATAGTTATACTTGTTTATTATAATAATAGTCATAAACTTATATAACATATATTTCCCCCCTAGGTCCACATTATTAGAACAGTTTACATAGTTTGATTCCCTAATTGGCAGGTTGATGGTAATTGCTGTTAAATGTGAAAGGAAAATAAATTTCCATTTTCTTTGGAATTCATTCATCATATTATTGTTTAGTGACCTAAGCATTCAAATTAAAATCATTAAAAAAAATTATACTTATGTAATATACATTGTGGCCTTGATTGCCAAAGGTGACAACCTTATTATGGACTGCCAAATTCATGTCAAGTCAAAATCATAGCCTGATAATTAATAATAATTATAGGATTTACATATACCCTGTATATCTATTTTAGGAACAATTATTTGCTAAAGGCAGTTTTCCCAGGTCACTGGGTATAAAAGCAATCAGACGCTAACCACATTAACTCCCTGTGAAATCGTGAAGCTAATACTAAACAACCTATTTTAAAACCTTTAACTTCCAGGTACCTGTTTTTTACTGCTGAATGGAGAGAGATAAATGTAGATAAAATGTTTTTTTTTTTTTTCACATTCACTTTTACATACTTTTAAGGTTTATTGGGTTTTATTTCTTTTATTAGTTTTACTTTCATTAATAGTAATTTTAAAGGTTTTAATAAATTTTAATGTTTGTTTTAGTTTTTAACCAAATTTTATGTAATTTTTTTTTTTTTAAGGGACCCCAACGGAATAAACCGATTGGGTTTTTTGGGGTTATCCTGAGCTGTAAATGTTTTACTAAATTATCTTTTTATTGTTCATTGTTTTGTTGTTTGTAATGTGTAGAATTATGCTCAAATAAATTTGAATTGAATTAAATTGTATTGTCAAATTTAAATTGATTTCTAAATAAACTAAAAATAAAATTGTAACTTAAAAAATAACTAAATAATAATAATAAATGATAGAGTTCCTTTAATTTCCCTCCAGCCATGCATTTAATTGGCTGTATCCATTAATTTTATTTAAAAAATAATTAAATCTTGTTTTATGAAAGATTTGAAACTTAGTGTACTGCATTAGTGGTACATATAAGTCATGTCAACTCTCTCATGGCAGTTTATACAGTTTTTTATTTTTGTCTTAAAAATTGAGAAATTTGAAATATGATATTAATAAATAATATAATTTTTACTGATTAAAAAAAAAAAATTTTTAAATGAAATGAAATATAGTTCTTCATTCTACCCATTTAAGATATATCATGCGTTCTAGCTTAATGACTATATTATAGAAATTGATTTTCTTTAAAATATTTTAAAATGAAGGGATACAAATTAATAGTCTTATCCTCTATTATACGTAAAGTGCTTCAACTGAAATGAAATCCTGTAATATTTTTTATTCAAGTAATTTGCAAATCAGAATCCAAGTGACCTTGATTTAGGAAATTGTAAAAGCCAGCTATAGAATTGATATATTTGTGAGAAATAGAAAACTGATCTGTCAAAATAATATCCATTAAGGACAGAATAAAAGAGGATCTAATTTGAAATTGTATCCAAAGATTGAATGTTACTGACTTTAGTGAATCCCAGTCAGCTATTCCCATATTACCATGAAGTCTCTTTAGAATTCTACAAATCTTTAATCATGGAAATAAATGGTTGTTAAATTTTTGGCAGGGGTTGCTCATATCTTACAACAGTATTGAAAAGCTATGTATATTAGTCATATACAGTAATTCTTTATTTCTCCAATTGCATATAAACATAATGTTATTTAAACTGGCATACTGTACAATTTACGAACTCTAACAACAAGCACAACATCCATATAATAACATAATAAACAATATTGGAAGATTGCTTAAATTGCACAATCCAAACAAAGCAGTGCTTTTTTAGCCATGCCGCTTGTCTTTCCTCATTGGTATTATATTGTATATTATAAGATTTACAAGTGAAAATAAATATATATATATATGAACATTCGTTAATTCATAATTGTGAACTCACAACGGATTACGAGTGTCATTATTAGGACAACAAACCCACTTTTGACCGGATTGTCATTTTTGGACAACCTGAATTTATTAGCAATTTACTAATTGTAAAATCTAATCAAAGTGATGATAGAGCTGTTGGGAACAACTCACTTTATATCAAGTTAGTATATTTTATTTAAAGATCAATCAAATAGGTTTTCACTGGTTTACATACCCTTTTTTACAGAATGCTTATGTCTTGTAAAAGGAAAAGTACAGTTTTAAGAAATTACTTTGTTGTTGTTTACTTATTATGCTGAAATTTATCTCCATCCACTAGCTGTATTGTTCATGTCCGTTAATTGGCGAGTAAATATTTATCATTATTTTCAATTGAAATATTTCTTTAATATCTTAAATTAATTTTAGCATATCGCAGACAGTATAACTTTAAAGAGCAGTTTTCCTGGGACAAATATTTCTTCATGTCAGAATTTTTTTTGTAGAACTTAGCTGCTATAACCATATTTGAGATTTCATGTGGTCATTATAACATTTAGCAAAATTGATCATATTCCGAAAATAACATTAAAAAAAACATAAAAATCTTGTGTATTTTGAAAATATACTTGGATTTAAAAGAAAATTAATTAAAAGCTTCTTAAAATAAATTAAAAGAGAACTGGCAAAATGTTTTTTTGTTCTAGAATGGATTTTTGATATGCCATTAATAATAGAATCAAACTTAAAATCGTTTTTTGGCTATTTTTTATGAAGTTATAGGCGATTATATAAATATTTAGTTTATTTTTGTCTTTTTTAAATTTATTTTCTTTCTACTGTACCTCTTTACTAGGTTCTAGCGAGACAAGTAGCTACTTCTAGTTACGACCCAATGATAATAATGTTTTATTTTTTTATTTTTTTTCATTTTTTGTCATTTTTTTTGTACTGTTACAATTGTATCTGTTTGGCATTATTATCGAAATAAATGTTATCTGAATCTGATTATGTACGATTTTACCATGACGTCACTGGTGAAAAAGTAACAAAAGATCGTGTAAATAGCCACGCATAGGGTATCCACCGCGTAGGGTATCCGCCGCGTACGATCTTTGCGTGCATGCTGTAACAATCACAATTTGGCTACAGCATACACGCAAAGATCGTACGCGGCGGATACCCTACGCGGCGCTATTTACACAATATTTTGTTACTTTTTCACCAGTGACGTCATGGTAAAATCATATATGATTGCCTATAACTTCATTAAAAAAAAGCCAAAAAACGATTTTAAGGTTGATTCTATTATTAATGGCATATTAAAAATTCTCTAGAACAAAAATTCATTTTGCTAATTCTCTTTTAAAAATGCCTTGATTTATTCTGATTTTGTTCTGTATGATTATGTGTTGAAGGAGCTAAAGCAGGCTTCCTTTATAGTTGTTCTTCATTTTGCATGTTAAACCTAAAATTACAGACATCTTCAGCTAATTATCAGCTTTAAAACTCCAATTATCACAAAGTATTTTAAGCCAACTGAGCCTTTCTGAACTCTTGTGGCGGTAAAAGAGAATCTTTAAGGTAGTGAAAACTCAGTTTAGGTTGACTACAGTATTTTTAAACTTCATCAAATATTTTCCTGTATACCTCACACTGTCACATTGTTTCAAAGTATATTAATCTGTCAAATTTACAGTATATCATTTTATCTTTCTCTAGACAGTCAACAGTCTGTCTATCCCAACTGGCTTGCGATTGCATTTTCCAATTATTTTCCTCATGTTGTTTGGCCAGTTAAGGGAAGAAGGGACTATGATGATAAGCTTTTTTTATGGTATGAATAATAAGTAAATTCATTTGTGTATTCTTTTGTGTTTTGTTAATCAAGTCTGGTTTTATTTTCTTTTGTTGATACGAAGTGCATTAAGGCAACCATTTGCAAATAAACACTATAAATAGCACATCCTTATATTTCTGATCATATACTAATTATAAAAATGTACCTGGATATTTTTCATTGTGGAAATGCAATAATGTAACAAAACAAATATATCTTTACATGAGATACCATACAATAATTATAAGTATAAATTAATGCTTATCTTAAATTCCTGTTCAATTTTTAATTTCCATTTTACTTATAAATTCCAATCCAATAACAATGGTCTATAATCCTGTCTCTTATACACATCTAGATGTGTATAAGAGACAGATATATATATATATCATGCTATGATGTTATTTTCCCTATTTTAAATGTTAAAACAACAGTTATAAACGATTTGGTGGTGAATTCTGCCTAGAAAATGCCCGAAATCGTAAACTTTGAAGACTGATTTCTAAAATATTGTTTCTTAAACAACTGTATGTTTAAACTCCTATAACTTCATAACTAAATGTTGGATTTAAATGATTCTTTTATCATTTTATAGCTCACATTTTACTTTTTAACCCAGTATTAATAACTAATAATCAAATTTTGCGACAAGTGACTGGTTTGCTTCTCTTTGCCACATATATACTGTAGATCAATATTTTGCAGAGATGCATGTTGTAAAGCTGAAGTGGCTTGATATGTGATATGATATATAAGGTTGGCAAACCCTGCAAACCTCTTTATATCAACTTGCAAATCTCCTAAAAACCCAGCAAATCCCTCTAACCTTGGCCTACATCATGTGCTATAGAACATACCAAGATAATTAAATTAAGAAAGAAAGATTTATGTAGTTTACATTAATCTATTTTGGTGTAAGACCTTTTTACCCCAAAAATGTATTAATATATAACTACCACATGTTTTTTCAATTTAATTAATTTGGTATGTTGCATATGGTATTATATAGTCATTATTAAGTGGTTTGGATAACTTACATGGAGGTTTGAAGGGATTTTCACAAAAAAAAAAACTTTTTTCCCAAAAAGTAGATTATTATAACTACTTACATGTTTTTTTAAATTTAATTATTTTGGTATGTTCTATAGTACATTGTGTACACCATTTTCACCAAATTTGAAATAAAATTTCCGATAACCTGGCATCCACCACTGGGGGACCATCCATTTCACTCTACGTAGTTACCATCATGGAATAATTAAACGACAAAACTAAATTACTAATGAGCACGAATATTTTATAACGAAAAAAGAACAAAATGTTTATATTAAAACTAATGCCACCCTGACACTCGCACGATTTTTGTTCCCGCACTGGGTCGCATTTCGGCGCGCCAATGATTAAAGTCTTCAGGAATGAGTGTGAGGAGTACGTTAACGGTGCGGGGGTGCGTGCCATGTCGTAGAGAGAATTTTAAAACGTTCAAAGCGTTTAAAACGTGAACCATGCGTGCTATAAGCGTGAACACTGCGCGACCTCGGCCCAAACACTGCCGACAGTGCGTGTCAATGAAGAATGCTCTTCCTCTTGCTGCCTTTTCTCCTGCTCTTTCAGAAGTAATACTCCTGCAGTTACCAGATATAAACACCTTCTCTGCTCTGCAATAACAGTGTTTCTGGAATTCAGCATGTTGGATCGTCCACAGTGTGCAATGCAAAGTTGTAGAAGTGCGATCCACTGCGCAGTGCTTTATTTGTAACTAGCCAGCTGCTCAAGTTAGGCCGCTGGGGGTTGTGAGACATTGGCTGCGCTGTTTCAAAATAATCCTGATAAAATGGTCTATAATCATTGTTCAGTAGTTTTGATAAATTGCATGGAGGTTTGCAAGGTTTTACACACTAAAAAAAACATTTTACCCCAAAAATTGAGTTAATATAACCACTTTTTAAAAATTTAATTAATAGTTCATTCTATAGTACATTGTATAATCATTATCAAATGCTTTGCATGATGTGGGCCAAGGTTTGGAGGTGGTTTGTGGATTTAGCAATACCCTGATACAGTATTAATATGATATATTTTCTATAAAGAAATGCCTTAGTATGTGTATTTTTTCTCAGCAATATAAAGCAATATAAAATAAAAGTAACCTAATGGAACAATGCAACATGGAGAAGGGATGTTATTCCGCTTTAGTCTTAGTAATCTACTTGCAGTACCCCATCCTCACCGAATGCATCACAGGGTAGGGAAGTTTCTTGTGGCACCATGGGGGTAGAAACATTATTCCACTGAAGTCTTAATGACTTGCATACCCCAATTGATGCTTTTGAGTGATATTTTTTCTATGTTTTTTTAGTATGATGTGTTTAAAGGTGTACACACACTTTAACTAATATACGCGACTCAAACATCTCTTAGAAAAAGCAGGCAAAATAAGGTGATATGAGGTGATTTTTAACTAGTAATGTTTTTTTCGGAGAAATATCTTGGGAGGGCATACTGGGAGGGGGAAGCTTTTTATGGGGGTTGAGATAGACCATAGATACATCACTGTTTGCCACAGGTTGGCATGCTCTTTCTTGTTACTTGTTACATGTATAGCGCCTTTATTTTCAGTTACAAAGCGCTGTAAAGCGACTCTTCACAATAAGTAAATAACATCCGCTCCGAGTAAAGCTTGCACAGAACCAAACTCAAGCAAAGTGTGTAACTTAATTAATGCAATAGGGCAGTAGAAAAATAAGAAAACAAACAAAACAATAAACAAATATGATCTAAGCAAGTTGAGAGAAACTATTAAAAAAAGGTGTGTTTTTAGATGGATCTGAGAGATTTAGGATTTTTTTCTCTGTTCAACACATTAGAATCTCTTCCTACTATAGCTACAAAATGTTTATGATCTGTAATTATTCCAGCATAGTCTTAAATCATTTCTTTTTAATTAGACTCGCCTTGTAATATACTAATAAATCACAGCATAGGTGACACGTTAAGGTTTATAGGCACTATATAGATGAGGCACTTTATTTTTTATTATTAATCGGTGATATCATGTATTGACCTCTGTTGCCCTTTTCCTTTAGTTGTTTCCGCAGCTAGACTGCTTACGGCCTGGTCTGTTTGGCACCTGGTCCAACTTTACCAAACGTTTCTGTGATGCTGGGTGGCGATATTTTGGACGAACCAAGACTTGGGACACAAGGTAAGAGAGTTCATATGAGTCAAATAATTGCTATAAAAAGGTTCACTAATCGGTATTAACATTTAGTTTACCATTGAACACATTATTCCATGATGGCATTTCAAACGTACGCATACAGGTAGCTGTGGTCGGTATGATTTCTGTACAACTTTGAACACCTCAGGTGTTGCAGTTCTTCATTGAAAGGGACAAGATACAAGCAGCTGTTTTGCTGCTTTCTTTATTGCTGAATTTCTTTTGTTGAAACTGTCAATCAACCTTTTAAATTTCTTTAACTTTTTCATTTAATTTTTTTATATGGCATTTTAAGATGTTTTCTCTAATTTATAGGGTCCTGGGTTCAAATCTTGTCGAATGCCTGAATTTTTTCTCATGATAAAGGACATCTTCACATTTTTGAGTTTTTTCCCCAGATTTTATCATTAACTGTATATCTGTAAGACAATTAAATGTTTGTACATTCACACAATGGAATTTATACCAAACTAGAGCTACCATGCCAAAAAATTTTGTAAATTAGTCACAACCATGGTGGGGCTAATCTGGACTGGACTCTTCATCATTAAAAGTCCCTCCCTAGACTTACTATTTTTAGAATTCCTGTACCTGCCACTGCAATATACAATTAATATAAATACTGGTAATAATATTAAATTATTTTGTGTCGGTAAGTAGAATAGTGCTGCTAGAAAGGATATGCGTGGCATATAAATCCTCGCGAATTAATTTGCACTCTGTGTGAGGGAGCTGTAGCTCAATACAACACCAGTTGGATTTGTAGTCCAAGTGGATCGTTGATAAAAGTGATGCATGATCGTGACGATGACTCGTGTCAGCTGCTGATGTCCAACACAGTGTGAGACAACCTTAAGATATCATAATTACGAGGCGGTTGGCGCAGCAGTTGCTGATAAGTTTTTCAACCTTGTGGTTGGGAGTTCGAGCCTCGCACTATCCACTTCCGGCCAGTCTTAGATACCTCAGCTTGCATTGTGACGGACTGTAAAAAATGGTCATGTCACTACATGTTCCAGCCTTAAATGCAAATCGACTACGTATTCTGGATTTGTTTCAGGCATTACAGCTCAGGCTCAACCTTTGCAGGACCTTGCTATACAGTCGAACTTTTGTCCTGCATCTTCTAATTAAAAAAAATATATATATATAAACAAATTGTTGTTTCAAACAATTTACATTTAGATTCAACACGTGAAATTCATAAAAAACTTCACTCATGTTAAGGCAGTGGCTGTTACAATAATCAAACATATAGTAGACTGAAAATCTACTGGCTTTCACAGAGTTCAGGGTTTTCTAGTGCAATGGTTTTCCCAGCAGTTTACCCTAACATTTTGGCCCAAGTTCAGGTGTCATAGGCATGCATGTTTTCTTTTAATGAGTTTTATATCAATGAGAGAAAGCCTGTTCTGTTTTATAGACAGTAAATCTAGTATGTATAATTGTGCTCTTAAATATCTGATGGATGACAAATCAATATAATTATATTTACTGTTAAACTTCAAAATTATTGGCAGTCCTGATTTGAGTTTGATTGATTATGTTATCAGTTCAAAGAACTATTCGCATTGAGCGCCATACATTTGGATTGATCGTCTGTCATCATCTTAACCCTTAGATTGGATTGATTGGATTTCTTCTGTATGATTTGATAACCCATGAAGTCAGAAGTGGGGTCCTTTTTTGGGAATTTGGTAGTACACTGACAAACAATTCCCTATAATTATCTTGCTTGCTCCCGGAGTAGGAGATTATGTATTAAGCATAGGAACTAATTCTTTAAAAAAAAATCTTATGATTTGTATTTTGTCCTTGAAGAAGTATTTCTCCCATTGATAAAAGTAAATGTAAAGGTAAGAGAATAACCCATAACAGCGTCATTGTGATGAATTGCTTATGGATGTGGTCTGTGACTACCTAGCGGTTGGGGCGGCGGGCGGCACCAGGAATTCCCCGACGAGGGCTCCAAGCTCCCCGAAAAAGACATCCACGTCCCCCTCGGGGAAGCCTAGGCCCCCCTGTCCATCCCAACACCCCTACCCTACCCCCGTTAGAGGAAAAATTGGAGAAATTTTTATTTAAAAATTAATACAATGTTGCATTAATTTTGGGATTCTTTATTTAAAAAGGATAATTTCGGCACCAGAGATTTGATTTTTCCCCGACAAACTTGCTGGAAATTCCCCGATAGGGTACCAAGCGGGGGGTCAAGGGGTCCCCAACGGTGGTCTCTTTGCCCCTCCTTGGGCCCCCGCTAGCACCGCCCCCTGCCTAGAGGCCGTATGAGGCGCTTGTATTTGCTACATGTTCATACCATTTGGCAACGACGGAGACGGGAATGAACATTGCATCGGGTTAACCCCTATTCTTCCAAACGATGCAATTGGTTCTTAAAGTGCACACGAGATGTATTATACTGGACCTCCATTTTAAGTTCAGATGGCGAGGAGCGGCTGGAACCAGCACCAATGTTAACACTGTAGTTAGCGGTGCCCCTGCCTTACTGCTCAGCCACTCGATTCAAACTGTGTAATGCTACAGTGTTTATTTTTTTGATGTAAATAACAGTTGTTTCACAATGATACAATTTTTTAATCTAGTCATAGATTTGATTTTTACATTATTTTTTATTTTTTAAATTTGCAGTAGTTTGTTATTAATTTAGTATTTCTAGTCTGTTTCCGTCTTTTGTATTAGCATTATTTCTTGTAAAACTATGTGATTTATAATTCTCTGAGACAAGATTTCCATATTTTTTTTCTAAATCTGTTCAGACTTCCTTGCTTTAGATTTATCAATTGCTGGCTATAAAGATGTCTGGTTGGCACACAAGTATTAGATGGTGGCTCCAGTTTGAAGGCTTATCCGTTTTTTGTTAATACTTAAAGTTCAGTCCATTTTTTGAATGCTATGATAAATGCAATTTGAATCTTCCAGAAGTCATCTGATTATTGTGCTGGTTTGTGATTGTGTATTTTGTACATATTTTCATTGAATATCTTGAATGTTTTTCTAGAAATACAAAATACAAATGTAATATTTTTGTAATTTGTGTTTTTCTGTGACTTGTTTTAATATTTTCATGCTTGTCAATATGTAAACTCACAGGTTTGCCTTTTGGATGATTTGAGGTTTTTTATACCTAATATATAAATAAAAATAAATACAAATTGTGTTTTTTTTTTTTTTCATAATTTCACAAAAATAAATCATACCAAAAGATATTAGTATATTAGGACAGAAATACCCCTTTCAGACAGACCTGCAAAAATGGTATTAATACCGTATTTCTTGAACGCCGGCGTTCTGTGTGAATGGGTAAATAAACGCCAGCTTCAGTTAGACCCCCTCGGGACCTAGTCTTAATACCACATTAATGCCGTAGCGAGTTTTTCCCAACTCAATGTGAAAGGGTACAGGGTTCATCGCCGTCTTACGCACTGAGGCATAACAAATCAGACGGTCACACAAGCAGCCATCAACCGCTACCACAGCTAACAAAGCCATTGAAATCGCTAGCTGACGGTTCTTTAGACGCGAAAGTCGCCTGCACCTAGCTGCTCGAAATTCAAGCCGGCCTCGCCATAAACGCTTCCTAAATTCTTTCTCCACTTGAATGAAATGCATAAGAAACCTTCTTTTTCTCAAATTTATATGTATTGCAAACATAGCAAGCATTAAAAAACTTTTGCAAAGCAGCAGTTTTATGACTTCATCTCCGGCCATATTGGATTAATTGAGTAAACAAAAAATTGCGCCCTCTTTGTTAACAAGCACAAACGCCACAGACATCAAATACTCCTTTCCGCGAGAACCCTTTCAGACAGGATACGGTATTATTGCCGGATTTTAACTAGCTGTGTGAAAGGGTCTGCGCCGGCAATAACGACAGCGTGATTAGGGTATTATTGCGGTATTTTCTGTCTGAAAGGGACTCTCGTGATATCTTTTTATTTTTTATTATTCATTGGCATCTCTGCAACAGTGGCATAATATTTAAGAGTATTGGCATGTGGGAGTGTGATGATGTAGAAGTGTACTGTTTAAGTTAATAGGGGTTTGATGGTTTAGTGAGGGGAGGGGTAACTGCAAAAATATGTTGATATGAGGTGGTTTTCAACTACCGATACTGTACCTTTTGGGTGAAATACTTTTGGGCGCCCCATTAGGTATTAACCACTGCTCTTCAATTAAAATTGGTTTAGATAGTAATTGATGTCTCAATAATACTGAATGCATACTGAAGCTTGTGGTGCCATACATTTATTTGGTTATTCAAATGGAAAATAGTTTGGCCATAGATCATCTGTGTCTTTATACCTCTTAATTCTATAAGACATGAATGATCTGTACCGAAGTTAGCGGCGTCATAAGTAAACGTAACTTGTGCGATCATTGCCAGGGTTAAAGTACCTCTCTTAATTCTAATATTACACATGGAAAAATATCTGCTGTATAGGAGAGTTGTTTATATGGGCTTATGCCCGCTCTGCAATCCTTGCTTGCTTTGTTTTGTTTGTTCCATTTACTCGATTGAATTGTATGTAATCCATGTTGCAAGTAAAAAAAAATTTATTTGATTTGAAGCTGGTGGCATTGTAACTGTGATCGTCAGGGTTAAGTATCACTGTGTACTATTACAGCAATGCTGTCGCCTGTATGATTACCAGCAAGAATTTGGCCGCCTTTATTTTCTCCTCTCATTCAATTTATTTAAAAAAAGATATATACCAGATTGTTCTATGTATAAGGTTTTGTAATAAATCACAGACAGCCTTCTGCTCAGTTCCAACCAAACAGAAATCCCTTTAACAACAGTGCCATAAGGTGGATTTTCTCTGCTGGAACACATTGATTTTCTAATGAAATAAATAATTTGTCATGACTTGTCTTTTCTACTTGTATCTACATTAAATGAAAAATGTGGCACATTGTACTGTAGATATCTAGCATTAAGAATAATTAATAGTGTTAGGTCATGG